AGGGCAGAGTCATCTTTGGGTCTTTGGCTTGAATTCCTATCAGCCTTCATTGTTTATATTTTGTGTCTTTTGATGTCAAGGAAACAACAGCTCCTGAAAAACAGTTTGAGGTAGGAGCTCAGCAAGGTGTGGCAGGAGCTTCTTAACTACACTCAAGCTTACCATTAGCTCACTCCCTAATTAGTCTTCGTTATCTTTAAAAGAAAAATCAAGAGAAAGGAGAAAGGAACAAAAGGGTTGTTATTGTACATAAATAATACCTCATTTTTTTGTTTTTAATTAACTTCACTGCCTTCCACTATGCACGTAAAACATATCATCATTCGATGTTTGGGAAACAAAGAAATGCAGGGTATACTGAAAGCAGAAGAAAAGGCTGGATTTTCCATAACTGCATAAATCACTTACTAATACCTTTTATTTTTGCCTTTTTGATTAAAAAATTGTGGCTGTCAGCAGACAGTAGAGTATACACTATTTTATATCCATTTTTCTGCAGAACTGACAAGTTTAAGGATGTTAAAATGAGTGCATAGAATTGACTCTGATAATGGTTACACAGCTCGGTAAATACACCAAAAATATTCAATAGTGCTTCTAAATGGATGAATTGTATGACTTATGAGTTCCATCTCAATAAAGTTGTCAAAAAACGCTTCATAAACTTAATTTTCCACATCTATATGACATTTTTCAGACAGCCTAGTTTTTCACTTGATCATTTGCATAATCATTTCTTAACCAAAAGATCTATCTGGGTTTTTTCACTATTGTAGCCAAACTAATGATATTCACATTTAACAATACACTGAGCAGTTATGGATACTATATTCTTTCCTCTCAAGTTTCCAAAGATTTAAGGGTTATGTAATTTCTGCTGGGCAGTAAGCAGTGGGGCTCATGCCTATAACAGCCTGATTCCTTGAGAGGCTGAGATCAGAATTATAGTCCGAGGCTATCCCAGGAATATACATGAGACCCCTTCTCAACCCCTGAGCATGGTGGTCCACACCTCTCATTCTAAACTTCCTGGAAGGCTGATTAGATGAATTTCTGCCCTGTCAGAAAAGTTCATAAGACTCTGTCAAGCGCCTGTCATCCCAGCTACTATGGGAAACTTAAATAGTTGTTCACACTTCAAGCACCTACCTTACTTCAAAATAATCAGTCCCAAAAAGGGCTGGAGGCATGGCTCATAGTGTCATCAAAAAACAAAACCACTACCACCACCACAACAACAAACTCAACAACATAGAAATCCTAAAGGACCAACAGACTTAACTCAAGAAAACAGTTTCTGGGGGCTGGGAAGGTGGCTCAATGGTAGAGCGCTTGCCTTGCATGCATGAGGCCCTGGGTTCGATTCCTCAGCACCACATAAGCAGGAAAAAAAAAAAAACAGTTTCTCTCTAGAACTGCTAACCAACAAAAATAAAAAGTAGTTGTAAGTGAGAATCACTGAACATTAAGTCTTGGGAGGGAGGAGGGGAAGGGACACAGATCCTAAACACAAATGTGAGGCCTATCAGATGACAACAGTGTAACAGTTGGACAATTGTTGGCATTCCTGAACATACTATAAGACAAAGGAAACAATCCAGTCCTAACAGTTGGGTGCTGTTATGTACAGCATCTAAGAAAGCATGCCTAGGCTGAGTAGTAGAGCTGTGTTCAAATCCCAGTATGAAGCAAGGCCAAGAGAGATGAAGTCTGTTAATCCAGAATCTGTTATGAATTGGGAATGAGAGAGCTTCATAGCAAAGATTAATTTGCAGCTCACCTGAGCTGGAGGTTCCTGAAGTGTACAATCTGCCTATCATAGTGAGCATTCATTCCATAAATACAGTTGGGAAGGGCAGCTGCTTCTGAGCAAACTGGAATGCAGTCTTAATCCAACAGATGGTCCTACTTGGAAACTGGAGCCTTTTGCTAATTCAGAAAGGGCCTGGAGTATTTCTGTTAGTCTGGTTTCAGTTGTGGCCAGAGTTCATTTGCGCAATCTTTGCATTCCAGTGTGCTAAAAGCTTTCTCACACAGTAATAAAAGCACCCTTTGTCCCAGGCTTGTAAAAAGCCCCATCTTTGTCAAATGAGTTAACTGCTAGACTTCAGAGGATGTGTCTACAATGCATGTTGGAAAGCCACAAGAATCCAGGCACACCCAGTTGACAAAGGATGAGTTAGGAGAACAGACCACGTAAGCCTGTGTGTGTGTGTAAGTGTGAGTGTGTGTGTGTGTGTGTGTGTGTTTGTGTGTGCAGGCGCATGTATGTGTCTATTTTGAGGTAACGTATTTGGAACCCTGTTTTCATGCCAGGACCATGCTAAGTGCTTTAATAACAACACCTGTAGGTGGGGACTTCGTTAGCCAGCTGCCTAGAGTGGAACGGGAGATTTGGCAAAGCCCAGGGTCTGTTCCCAGTCAGCTGGCAAGTGAGGAGCAGGTGGGGAGGATTTGAACCTGGGTTCTACTATGTCCCCCTGACTAGAACTGATCATGCTGAGATAATTAACCCTGCAGATTTTTTTTTTTTTTGCCAGTCCTAGGGCTTGACCTTAGGGCCTGGGCACTGTCCCTGAGCTTCTTTTGCTCAAGGCTAGCACTCTACCACTTGAGCCACTGCTCCACTTCTGGGCTCTTTCTGTGTATGTGGTACTGAGGAATCAAACCCAGGGCTTCATGTATGCTAGGCAAGCACTCTACTGCTAAGTCACATTCCCAGGCCCACCCTGCAGATTGTGATTGAATGTTCTGATCAGTGACTTTTTGACAAGAATAGGCTTAAAAAAAAAAAAAAAGGAAGACTTGATGGGCACCTGGGGCTCACGCCTGTAATCCTAGCTACTCAGAAGTCTGAAGACTATGTTTTGAAGCCAACCTGAGCAAAAAAAAAAAAAAATAGTCCATGAGACTCTTATCCCTAACTGATCTGCAAAAAGCCAGAAGTGAATGTTGGCTCAAGCAGAAAAGTGCCAGCCTTAAGTGAAAAAGCCAATGGACAGTGAGTGCCCAGCACACACGTGCGTGTGCACACACACACACACACACACACACACACACACACAAATCTTTTTAAAGCTCTAATTAGGATACTGTACTACTCTCCTTCAGTTGTGCTGTTTTCCAGGATGGTACACAAGGTCCTCATGGGGTAATATATAAGGCTGCTTGCAGGCAGATAGTGCTAGCCCATGACTTGTTAGTAATATTGGCCATGGATGGATGGATGTCTCTGCTCTCCTTCCTGTCTCTTGAAACAAGTTTCTCCAAGGCTTTTAGAAATGGTTGCCATGACATCCATTCACTGGTCAGGAATATGCATGCAGAAAGTGGCATGTGTGTCACCTGGGTTCTAGGTTCACAGGTTTTTCCCCTGAACACTAGTGGCTCATGCTTATTATCCTAGGTATTCAGGAGAGTAGGACCGGGAGGATGGAAAGTCAAAGCCAACCTGGGCAGAAAAGTCTGAGAGACTTCATCTCTATGTAGCCAACAAAAAAACTAGGCTGGAGGCATGGCTTAAAGGGCAGAACATCACCTGAGCAAGCAAGCAAGCTGAGCAAAAAGCAGGTGGCATTGACTTCAAACCCCAGAACCAGAAAAAAGATTTTCAATGATAATCCTAATACTTCCAAGGACTCAAGGGATGAGGCAACCCCCAAAAGCTATTTCCTGAACATAAGCCAAAATGTCTGAACACCCACAACTTGATGACCCCCGGCAAGTTCTTGCTCCACTCGAGCCAATTAAAATCTTTATTTGCTTTGTTTCGAAAGGGAGGCTGTCATGTGTCCTGTCCCCTCCCACTCAGCCTCTTGGTCATGCAGCACTTACTTGAGCCACAGGCTCAGGGATAAGCACCCCTTTCTCGGATGAAAAGGAAGTCTAGGTCGTCTACATCACACCAAACAAAGAGCAAAGCTAGGGGAATCTTTCCAGCCTGTTCTAACATGTCCATCTCATTCCACGAACACAGCAAAGGGTTCAGAGCGAGAAAGGCCCTTAGGGTCCAGGACTGACGCCATTGGTTATGAAAGAGGGGCAGGAACATCAGAGCCAAGAGCTGAGCCAGGGGCTGGTGGCTCACGCCTGCAATCCCAGCTGCTCAGGAAGCTGAGATCTCAGGATCACAGTTCAAATCTAGCCTAGGCAGGAAAGTCCAGGAGACTCTTTGTTTCCAATAACTACAACCTCCCTACCCCACCCCACCCCCCCAAAAAAGCTGGAAGTGGTGCTGTAACTCAAGTGGTAAAGTGCTAACCTTGAGCAAAAAAGCTTAGGGACAGTGCATAGGTCCTGTGTTTAAGTCACACACACACACATGCTAAAGTTACAGCACACAGCGTGGGTTCAGCTTTGGCTCTCAGTCTGCTTCCCTTTATTATATGCCTAAGTTTAAACACAGTCATGTACTGTAGACTTGCTTCTTTCTAAAGAGAGAGTGAGGAAGGAGGGAGCAATGGAGGGTGAGCTAGGTCTAAATCCATCCCCTTTACAGCTGCTTTTTTTTTTTTTTGGCGGTCATAGGGCTTGAACTCTGGGTCTAGGCGCTGTCCCTGCGCTCTTCAGCTCAAGGCAAGTGCTCTGTCGCTTGAGCCACAGTGCCACTTCCAGTTTTCTGGTGGTTTATTGAACATCAGAGTCTCACAGACTTTTCCTGCCCTGGCTGGCTTTGAATCACGATCCTCAGATCTTAGCTTCCTGAGCAGCTAGGATTGCAGGCGTGAGCCACCGGCCCCCGGCTACCGCTGCCCTTAAATGATCACTGCACAGAGGTTTTCAGGGAATGAAGGAATGACTCAGAATGTCTCAGTGAGATCACAGTTTGAAGCCAGTCTGAGCAAGAAAAATCTACGAGGCTCTTAAAAACTCGCTAAAAAAGCCCTATGTGGTAGAGTGCCAGCCTTGAGTGGAAAAGCTAGGAGACGGAACCCAGGCCCTGAGTTCAAGTGGCAGTACTAGTACAGAGAGGAAAAAGAAAAATGCCTCCCATTGCCTACCTTTGGTCTTGATGGCTGTTTCGATGTTCAAGGCATCTCTCTCAGCATCGAAGTTGGTATAGGCTTTGACTGACCCATAGGCACTTGGGGGCGTGGAGTGCTGAGATTAAAACACAAACACATTCAGATAAGACATTTTACATCCCCTTCCTAAGTGAATAATTCCTCAGAGTTTTAAGTACTATTCCTTTAAACTGTTTGAGTCATTCTTATTACATGTCATCATATGCAAGCCTTTTTAATAAGAAAGTCTACTTTTTAAGCGAGGTTGGGTGGCTCACACCTTGGAATCCCAGCCGCTCAAAGTCAGCCCAGGTAAAAGTTAATGACACTCATCTCAATGAACAAGGTGGTTCTTAGCTCTCATCCCAGTTCTGTGGGAGGCAGAAATAGGAGGATCAAGCCTAAGGTTGTCCAAAATAAAAATGAAAGATTCTGTCTGAAAAGGAGATACGATTCAAAAGGGCTGAAGGAATGGTTCAAGTGGTAAAGTGCTTGCCTAGCCAGCAGAATTCCCTAGGTCCAAATCTAAGTAAGGTTCCCCCCTCAAAAAATATGGGAATGTATCATAGTGATAGAGTGCTTGTCTAGCATGCATAAGGCCCTGAGTTCAATTCCTGGTACCACAGAAACAAAACAAAAGAAATAAAATTAAAAACAAAAAAAATAAAAATACAGGTTCATTTTCCCTAGAATATGCGGTCTGTGTTTGTACTCTTTGTCTTACTTTGAGTAAAGGCTCAAAAGCAAGTAAGGCCACTAAAGTGAGGACTGGAAATCTTCCTTTCATTCAGGATATTGTTGAAGAATGGGAGAAAGAGAGAGAGAGAGAGAGAAAGGAAGAAAGGAAGAGAGAAAGATATAGAGAAAGAAAGAAAGAGGAAGGAAGGAGAGAAAGAGAGAAAGAATGGAGGGAGGGAGGAAGGAAAGGAAGGAAGGAAGGAAGAAAAGACAAAGGAAAGAAAAAGAAAGAAAGAGAGAGAAAGAATGGATGTGGGAGGAAGGAAAGGAAGAAAAGAGAAAGGAAAGAAAGAAAAAGAGAGAGAGAGAGAGAGAGAAAGAAAGGTCTAGTAACAAGCTGAAATCAACTGAAATGTGGGAATGCCTGCGGGACAAGTGTGCTTCGCCAAAGTTTGGATATGAGCACATGAATACCCGCCAGGCTTGTCACTGAGACCTCAGTTCTTTATAAAGAGTGAATTTATAGTGCTCGGCTCTTGTCTCAATCAACTGTGTGAGGAGAGTCTTGGCGGCCGCTGCCACACCAGCTCTGGCACGGAGCTTTTCTGGCAGGCTGGCCCACATCCTCTTTCCTCTGCTAGGTTCTTGCTGTTCTACTCTTTTCTTCTGCCTCATTCCTCACTGTCCCCTTTGCCCACCATCCTGCCTGGCATGTTGTCTTTGTGAACCTCTTCCTATTCTGGTGCTTTACTTCTTTTGAAGTTTATATAATTTTAAAAAATAGCCTTAAGTAGTTGTACAAAGGGGCTTCCATTCACGATGTCAGTTTGTGAGTACAGTGCATCTTGCTGAAGGTCAACCCTTCCATCCTTCCTTCCACCTCGTCTCCCCCGACCCCCACCCATCCCAAATTACCTGGTTCCATTTTTCACATGTATACATGAATATTCTAACTCTTCTCCCACCGTCCTCTCCCCATTCGCCTGCTCTCCCTCCCCTCTTTGAGACTCCCCTCTTAACAGCATGTTTCACCTCTCTGCCATTCATTTTGTTAAACTTGTAAGTCAGTTGTTAGAAGGAGTTACGCCATTGCAATCTCCCCGCGTGTATACCATTCTTCAGTATGTTTGTGTATGTGTGCACATGACCCTGAATATGTTCTTACATGTTATAATTTAGATCGAACGTCCACATGTGAGGGAAAACATACACTCTTGGAGCTTGACTTAATTCACTTAAGCACCGGAGCCAATGGTCTAGTATCGCTATCCCCTTCCCCCACCCCAGACTGAGGTACAACAATGGCTTCCTTCTCCATCACTTCTCTTTTCCAAGTATGAAACTTCCCCCCTCCTTACCCACTCCCAAAGCCAAGTGCAGACAAGAGATTACCATTTTGGTTTTGGTTGGCTGGTGGCTAGAGAGCCATCTGCCACCACCCCACCCCTCCAAAGCTCTCCACCTGCAGGGCCCCAGCCCTTTCCCAGCACACATACCCATTTAGTCTGGGCTCTGGCATGACTTCTGCCAAGAGTCAACAGATTGAGATGTCCTCTATGAACCAACCCAGCACCCACACATCCCACTTTCCTAACGGGTGTTGCACAGTGAGGAAGTAGATACACCCCCTCAAGTGCCCCCCCAGAATGAGCTAGAGCTCAATGAGTTACTAAAGTATGTTTCTTCTAATTTTCCTGCTTTAACTTCTCCATAAGGGGTATTATATGTATGTGCTTATGTATGTGCATGCGTGGATGCCAGTACTAGGGCTTGAACTCACTTGGCTTTTTCTGCTCCAGGCTGGTGCTCTACCACTTGAGCCATACCTCCACTTCCAGTTTTTAGTGACTAATTGGAGATAAGAGTTTTATAAAATGTCCTGCCCAGGCTAGCTTTGAACTGTAATCCTCAGATGTCAAGCCTCTTGAGTAGCTAGGATAACAGGCATGCGCTGTCAGTACCCAGCTTCTTTGTCGTAACTCGGTGAAGACAGCAGACACTCAGGGAAATTTAAAGGCAAAGTGTGGTTTTGAGTTGTGGAATCTGCTGTGACAGTATGTGTTGGAAGTTATTCCCAGAGAAGAGCAGAACTGCCATCAGTGACTCATTTGCAAAGGCAGGCAGGCTGAGGAGCCACTCCACACGTGACTTCATTTCCAGGTAATGTGTGGTCTTACTCTACATCAGCAGTGATGGGGGGAAAATTTGATGCAATTTATAAGATCTCCAGAAACAAAATTAAATGGATAAATGAGCCTATTACCTATAATACATACTTGCATGAAAATTAACTCACTGTGACAGAAGCGATCTTCCCTTCTCCTACGATATCAGAGAATACATAGCATTTTCTATTTCATCCCCATCTCTCCACTCAGGGAAATGTAGCAGATTGGAGTAGGGTAACTCAAGGTACTTTAGGGGCGAAACTTGATTCCATTAGAGAAACACATTGTGCAACAACTGGGCTTGTCAAGGCCTTAACTTGGAGTTTATATTCTTGTCAACAACAGAAGGCCCAAGTGCCAAGAAATGGAAAGATTTGAATAACCAACAAACCACAGGCATACTCCCATCTACCTGGGCTGGCACAAACTCGGGTGACGCTGGGTACTGGTGGCTCACAGCTGTAATCCTAGATACTCAGGAAGCTGGGATCCGAGAATTCTGGTTCAAAGCCAGCCTGACCAGGAAAGTCTACGTGAAAATCTTATCTCCAATTAGCCACCAGAAAACTGGAAGTGGTGCTGTGGCTCAAAGTGGCAGAGAACTGTCCTTGAACAGAAGAGCTAAGGGACAGAGCCAAGGCCCTGAGTTCAAGCCCTATGACCAACAAAAAAAAAAATAATAATAATAGAGGTGGCAAGTGCCATAAATAATAATGAGGATTTTGGTCCATGTGATGTACATTGTTGTCATCCTTCTCTAGAGTACTTCTTTGAAAGACAAATTCAATTTTGAGCTCCCTGATAGCCAAAGCAAAAAATGAAATATGATAAATTATATAATGTTATATGAATTATTATATGATTTCATTCTTTTCTCCAGTAATTTAGGGTTTGAACTCAGAGCCCTGCATTTGCTAGGTAGGCAACTGACTTATCAGTTTTTGCTTTAGTTATTTTTCAGACAGGGTCTTGCATGTTGTTTTGTGTGTGTATGCGTGTATGTGTTTTTTGGTTGGTTGTGGGGCTTGAACTCTGGGCCTAGGCGCTGTCCCTCAGCTCTTCAGCTCAAGGCTAGTGTTGTACCACTTGAGCCACTACACGGCTTCTGCCTTTTTTTTTTTAATGTTTATGTGGTGCTGAGGAATCGAACCCAGGGCCTTAGGCATGCAAGGCAAGCGCTCTACCACTGAGCCAAATCCCCAGTCCTGGGTCTTGCATTTTTGGCAATCCTTCTACCTATACTCACAGATCACAGACATTCTCTGCCACATCCAGCTTTACTTTTTTAAAATGGGGTTTTGATATCTTTTTGTCCAGGTTGGTTTTGAACCTAGATCCTCCTACTCTGTATCTCCCAAACAGCTGCGATTTCACGTGTGTGCCACCACATCTAACTTTTATTGAATTTTTTCTTTAAAGAAACATCCTGGTCTTTTTGGAGCGAAGCTTTCCCAAGAGCTACATTAAAAAATAATAATAAAAAGTATAGGTCCTTGTGCAGAATAACTTCCTAGATACTGTCAGAATTCTAAAGAGATGCAGAATTATTTTCTGATATGACTTAAACTTATGCTAAATATGAATACAATTTGGGGACTGACACTAAATATTCACATATCACCATAACAGTGATTACCACGGACACTGTAAGTATGGCAGAATAAAACCCCAGCCCTTCTAGTCTTGCTAACTCTGTCCATTTTTAACACAGTGCCGACAACATTTTTAGAGGCAGGGTATTCCTTTCAAATTGAGCTTCTAGGAATTGCTAACCTCATGAAAAACTAGGGAAAACCAAGTAACAATGGAATCGTGTCTCTAGTTTCCTTCTGTATACAGGGAAAGAGGGCAGGATGCCTCTGCCGAGATCCAATTTACAACAATCACACAGAGTGAGAAATTATATACTTACATCACCCTCCAAGCTGAGCTTGCAGAGAATTTCATGAACAGTAGACATTTTAAAAGAAGCTGGAAAAAAAAAAAAGACAAGAAGTGTTTATAGAGAAGCTTTCCTTTCCCCTAAAGCACAGTAATTCATTATACTAACTAATGTCTATTTCTTGGGCCATTTCATCCAAGGATATTAGAGACCATTTTTTTTTCAAATAGATATATATTCCCATCTTAAGAAAAAGAATTAAAGCTTAGGGTGTGCCTTAGGCTTAAGATGGATTGCTACACTATCCAGGCTTTCTCTTGCTCTTGTTAATCAGAATTGGGGAAGACAGATCCTTCCCCCTCCCAGCCCTAGCTAATAGAGCTGAGCCTTCTGTTCCCCATAAAACTGGAAAAAGGCTCAAACTCTGATTGCATGCTGCAGTTCAGAGCATTTCCATGTTCGTTGGATCCTAAATACACCCCTTTCTTATTAGGTCTATAATTATTTCTTTACTCCAATGATGCTTGTAAGATATTAAAGTGCTTATGAGGAAGGCCATAGGTGATTTTCAGACATTAACCCACTCCATAGAGGATTGAATTCTTTGTATTTGACCATCAAGATGGCTGAACTGAAGTCATCTTCTAGCTAATGTGCTTACTTAGTCAGTCAGCTTCACTCACAGTCTGATGAATGGTCTGTCCCGCTTTTTGAGGTCACACAGTTCTTGGGATTGATCCACCCAACCCCCACCATAAGGACTGCTCCGCAGGCAGTGAACGTATCTTAACAAGACAGGGCAGGGCATTCTGTAGTACCACCCCCGAAAGAAAGGTAACTGAGGTGCTGCCTAAAACGTCTCCAGGGACTTCCAAGTCGCCACCATCCCTCCTTGGTCTCTTGTCTCTTCATTTTTGATTGAAAACTGGGACACATACACATTCATCTCCTGTTCCTTCAAGGGCTGGCTTGGTCTACATATTTTCATAGAACTGGCTTGGAGACAGCATTTGATGTGGACATTTGCCAATTTAACCACAAGGTCAACCTGTGACCCCATTGTTATTGGGATTACAGATACGTGATCCATGGGAATGGAGTCTAGGGAATTTTTTTTTTTTTTGCCCAGTGTGGCTTTGCTATCTCAATCCTATACTCAGCCTCCCAAGTAGCTAAGGTTATAGGCATGAGCCACCAAAAGCAATGTTTGATAGCACTTTGTCTATTCATTCAGCAGGGTGTATTGAGTGCCCGTTGTGTGGCAAGTATTCAACTGGCAAATATTTCAGTATGGTTCCCATCAGGAGGAATGTGTTTTGTCTCTTCTCCCTCACAGAGTGCTAGTATCTTTGCTCTCCCTAAGTGCTGAACAATTTTCTGAAAACAAGGAGTTGCTTTTTGTAATGAGTAACGTTTCTAATTATTTACAGTCATTCTGCCTAAGAAACAAAAGTATCACAATAACCACAAAGTCACAGTGACCACAGAGCAGTGTCCAGGAAGCCCATTAACACCCCACCCACGTGCCTGGTGTGTATAAATATCTCTTCTTTCAGGTTAAACAGCACACATTTTATGTTTAGAAATAAATTCTAGAGGGCTGGAGGCATTGGTTACACAGTGGAGAGCCGGCTTAGAGGGCACAAAGCCCTGAGTTCAGTCTGTAATACCGCTCTAAAATAAAATACTACTTCATTTTATCAAATCCCCTGGCAAGATGAAGACATCTTGGGTAGTAGTACTGATTGGCCAGTCACTCATCTGTTTAAACATTACTTTTTAGTACCTTGGATGAATGAGAATGTCAGGAGTGTTGCTACTCTTCAAACAGATAACAACAACAATCTTTGGCAGTGCTACTGTAACTTCCAAACCCTGGTTCATAGTCAAGTCATCAGCCCACAACCCCATAATATACAAAACTCAGAGATCCGAAAGACACACAAGCGATGTGTGCATCTGGCTGCACAGATATTAGCTCAGGGTCACAAGAAGTGAGCGGCAGGGAAAAGGCCCTGACTCCCCAGACCTTTGACCTCCAGGCCTCACCCCAATGGCTTATCATTTTGGAGATTGAAACGCACAGTTCAGAGTGATGGAGTGAGATAAGATCAAGGCCTAACCATGCGGCACTGACTACACAGATGGGGGTGAATCAGACCAGAAGTTCCAGCCAGAGAAACTTTGAGAGGCCTGGAGCGATAGGAAGGGGTGGAAATACCACCAGGAGGCAGGAAAACAAGAGTACAGGTTTGAAAGGGAGCCATGCCCCAGGTGGGGTCTGGTGGGGAACCTAAAGCTTAAATATCTGAATTGTACAAAGTAAAGATTTGAGCCGAAGGCCAGAGTGACTGGGACGCAAAATACACATGGACCTGTTTACCAGACAGCTGCTAGTTGCCTAAATTTCCCTACTGAAAACAATTCCTTGCATTTATTTACGTATTTGTTTGTGTGTTTATTTGTGTCAGTACTGGGACTTGAACTCGGATCCTCATGCTATCAAGTGGCCTTTTGACTCAAGGCTCTCACTTTTAACCACTTGAGCCATAGTTCCACTTATGACTTTTTGCTGGTTAATTGGAGATAAGACTACCACACCGGCTTCAGAACTTGATCCTCAGATCTCAGCCTCCTGACTAGCTAGAATAACAGGTGTGAGCCACTAGTGCCCGGCAGGCATTTCCCTGCCGTTAGTGGGTTCCTGTTCTGAATGAGATTAAAATAGAATGAGATAATTCTGCCTGTGTTCGTTCCTCATCATGGAGGAAAATACATAAAGGCCCGAAAGCAGAGCCACCCTCCCTTTCCTGGCAGCTTTCTCCCCACAACATGAAAACCTAGGACACTTTCTTCTCAGTACCTCAGCCTCACCCAACTGGTTTCAACTTGCACACCAGAAAGAAATCAGGTAATTCAATCTGTGTCTGAGTACATCTACATACTGGGGCCTTCCATTCCCAGGGAGGGCTGGGTATGGGTACCTGGCTCTGGATCAGGGAAACTGTTCATGTTTAGAAAAATAAACTAGATAGTCCCAGGGAAACACTGAAAGCAACCCACACCCACTTCAAGCTGCTCTGAAATAATTCTCCACACTGGTGGGAAAAAAGTGTCCCTCAGCTCCACCCTAAGGAAGGGAACATACAGTTTGCTCTGGCCTGGGAAGGACTGATAAATGAGATTTTAATTGCCTGACAAGAAAGCTCTCAGCGTTATAAAGCTAGACAGCAATGAAATCCATTCACTTGTTGAAAAACAAGTCATTTATGTTTAATAGAAGGACTGTTTTATAGATAACCTGTAAGTATGTTTGACCTTTGAAAAAAATAAAATTAGATTTTGGGGGGATGACACTTTGATTTGAACTCAGGGCCTCAAGCTTACTAGATAGGAGTGCCACTACTACTTGAGCCATGCCCTATTTCTTTTTGGTTTAGTTATTTTTCAAATAGGGTCTCACAGTTTATCCCCAGATTGGCCTGGACACGATCCTCCTGTCTGTGCTCCCCATGTAGCCGGGATGGCAGGGGTGTACAACTACACTCCTTGAGAAGGGGGGGGTCTCATGAACTTCTTGTCAAGCCCCTCCCATTCTCACTCTCCCAAGTCACTAGGATTAGAGGCATGAACCACTACACTCAGAAAAGAAAAATAATCTAGATATTATTACACTTATTTTACTGGAAAACCATAGTTACAAAAAAGTGGTACATGCTGGGCACTGGTGGCTCATGCCTGTAATCCTAGTTACTCAGGAGGCTGAAATCTGAGGATTGTGGTTCAAAGCCAGCCTGGGCCGGAAAATCCATGAGACTCTTATCTCCAGTAAACCACCAGAAAACTGGAAGTGG